TAGATTTGAAATATACAGTAAAAGAAAAGAAAGCCGTTGGTTCCATTTATCTGATCTCAGTGTTTGAATGTGATCATAGTGATATTTGTCCACTTTGTGTGGGGATCTAACATTCGTATTGACAGCAGCAGGCTCGTCTCATCACTTATTCATCAGCTCCCTCTGTCCTCTCCTCCCTCTGGTCCCACGCTGTAAATATAACACTGTTTATCAAATATTCAAGATCCATGCTGGAGCTTTCTGAAACTCCGACCTTTGTAAAAACAACAAAAATCACAATAACAGTTCCGTCTGCGCTCACTGGTCATTTGTGTTTTCTTCTGGTCAGAGTTTGTCTATATCAGAGAATTTACTGCAGGTTTCAGATAACATTTCCCATCATGCATTCCTTTCACAAAGATTCCCAGAGCCTGGCTGCTGGAAATGAAGCAAGTATCATCACAAAGAGGTGTTTATTTTTTTCTTTGGTGAGTCAGCATCACCGTCAATCACTCCTCCGATTCTCCTTCTCTCCTGAGGGTGATGCGCAATCGGCAGGATTTGTTTTTAGCCCGGAAGCTTGAATCTCCTGCAGAAGCACACGTCCCGTTTCTTAAAAAATAGAAATAAAAAATAGCTGCTGCTGTAATTTTGGCCGACAGTTGGACCACTCAGGGAGGAAACCTTGTCCACCATTTCATTTAGAGTTCACCTTCCAGGCACACACACACACACACACACACACACAACCTGACATATTGCAGTGCGAGGCAGTTTGCCCAGGTAATGAGAAGTGGGGAATAGAAGGAGGTATTGGGGGGGGTAGTGGTCCAGCAGGTCATGGGTAAAATAGTGCTGCAGAGAAGCTCGGAGCATAACCTCAGCTCAACCCAATGGAATTTTATTCTTCGCAGCTGTTTGAATGGACTATAAAATAAAGCAGTAACACTTCATCACACTCTGATGATGACATTTTCTGCAAAAGCGCAGACGAGCCTTTGAAAAACAGGTTGTCTGAGACTTTTTTAGGATCCATGTCAGGTACAGAGGAATATCAGAGTCCCAAAAACACTGCCACTGCTCCATTATTGATGATATAGTAAAAAAGAAGTCTTGGAGAGAATAACCCGCAAAAAAGTCTTTCCCACAGACAAGCTGAGTGAAAAATCCTGACCGGGGGGTTCGTAGATGAGAGTGTGGATATACCCAACCCAGAAAAATATTTAATATTTTAACCTTTTTAAGACTTTTTAAAGCCTTGGATTCAGATTATTACATTTTTTTAAGATCCCTGAAAAAGCTCTTAAGCAGCATTCAGCCCAACTATCTGCAGCTTTCGACATCTACATCCTTATTTTCTCATGTATCTGTCGATTCGACAATCAAAACATCCTAATTATCACAAACTGCCACTCCAGCTCCGCTCACAGTTGGGCAGCAGTTGGCAGCGTGGAGGATGTCAGCGTTTCGCTCATCACTTTTCCCTGAGGGAGTTTGCCAATGTCCACAGGCCCTTTAAGTCTAGTGTGTGTGTGTGTGTGCTTTTACAGCACAATCTGTACATCGGACTTGTAAAACCGCTGCAGAGGTGAAAGTCCACTTAACTGCCTGCATTAAATATGCTGTCACGCAAGGCCCCGGCATGTGCAACTTCACCTTTTTATTTATACGCCTCGACTCGACTCCTCTAGCCGTCTCTCCGCTCTCTGAGTCGTATTTCTGCAGCGGCGCATTCAACCATTTGCAGGTTATTTATGAGAGCAGTGCCAGGAGGCAGAGTTTCCAGGGAATACAAATTCACCAGGTTGTTTCCCTTGAGAGACGGAGAAGATGAAAGAATATTGAATGGAAACAAACTTTGATTTGATGCGTTTTTGTGTTGTGTGTTATTCAGCATGGATGTGGGATGTTAAGTGTCGGCACCGGGTTTAAGCATCATACACCTCATATGATTTTTGTAACTTCCATGTTGCAGTCCTACATTTTCAAGCTAAATTAATCATCCTAATCTCTATTTTTAACATACAGATATTAGAATGATATTGATCTGGGCAAGAAAGCTTTAAATTTACAAATGCAAATCTTGGCGTATTGCTTTTTTGATTATTTACCGTAGATATAAAGACGAAGCTTCTCTTCCCTGTCTAACTTTCCCCTTTGAATATTCCGAAATTATTTACAAATGTTTTTTAAAACTCTCCTATCAATCTTCGCAAGCCTGTTTGTGTGAACAAATTTAATCCTGACTGCCTGAAAGAACTTGCAAGTCAATAGGAAGCTGGTTATGTTGTTTCAGCGGAGCTCATAATCTTGGTCCTGACAGCGTGGCCTTTAGGAAGAGGCGGTCTTAAAAACATTTCCTCGCCCCCCTGGGGTCGCAGCCTTCTCCTTTTAACTCGGCTCTGAGAGGAACAGTCGCCCTGAGACGGCTGCTTTACAGAACGGCAGCGGAGGGAGGGTGTGTGCTGTTGCTGAGGAAGCTTATACCAGCACTGTCAGGGCAGGAGAAGAGGGGGGGGGGGATTGTTTGGGTCCTTAAAGCAAATGATGCAATTTGTGGAGGTGACTGTGATTAGCTGCAATCCTCTGGGAGGGAGATCCGTGAGCCCTAAGCTTCTGAGCTGCTGCACATCCATCGACTGTGAAAGTTTTGAAAAACGCAAAAGCGAAACTCTGTCCTATAATGACACTGGAGCTTAATTTACAAATGATTCCCAAGATAATTTAGCAATGAAAGGGGGATGATCTCGGTGGGGAATAGGGTTTGATACAGAATATTTAACAGTTCATAATATAACCTGCAATCACTTCAGTATTTTTTTTAAATCCTAAATCCATTCAGTAAATCTCACAGACCGTCTTCCTGCTGTTTCACTGGGCCTATATTTCCTGTTGCCATGGTAACAGCCGTGCCCCGACAGTTGACCCGCTCTTCCTCGGTAGATAATCTAGTTGTTAACTCGGCAGTCTTCTCCCACACGCTATAATAAACACATTTGTCCCGACAGGTCAACCTTTGTCTTCTTGATTTGTGCTGACAAGCCGCAATTAGACGTTGAGAAGGCGTCAGAGGAGCTGGTCTCTTCGGCCTGTTTTGGTCTGTGTGTGTGTATGTAATTAACGATGTAACAGCAGGTTGAGGTATAATTAATGAGAATGTCAACATTTTCTTTTTCATTACAATCATCGTAAAAGTTGTTTGCTCTTGATGCAGACCTGGTGTTTTCTTCGATGAGAAATCAGTGAAAGCTTTTTGATTCATGACAAGTTGTCATAACAATATCTTGATTTATTTTACCCCAATAATTAGAACTGAAATATAAAAAAAGACCTCAGTTAATTAACATCACATCATTTTTTTTTTTTTTTAATTCTGTCTCGTCTTCATTCCTGAAAACACAGAATGACATTCAAAGGACTTTGCTCAATGGAAGAATAAATCAAAAGAATATAATTAAATGATCTCATGTGATTAAAGTCCTGTTCTATATTATCTACACATGTCTTTAAATCAGGATACACAAAACATTGCTTTTAACAGAATGCAGTCCAGTTCAATAATCTAAAAATGTAATCCTCCAAATTTCAGTTTTTCCTCTACTCCCTGAAATACGTGCAAGGAATCTGTATAATATAGTACAAGTTATTAATCTCTAAAATATTCATTCATTAAGAAACAGTTTAGTTATCGAATGATTAGTGTTATAAAAGCCAGAAACATTAAGATCCACACTGTCTTGGCTTCTGCACTTCTAATTTCTGAAACAGCTGCAGTTTTAATTAAAAAAGTGGTTTCTACTTGAAATTGAATCAGATTTAAAGATGCTGCAACATCCTTCAGGCTCTGATCCTGAACCCTGCAAACTGATTGGCTCTCAGGTCCAATTAAGACCTGAGACAAACACGTCTGAACCCTGCGGGCGTGCCATTCCACACCGTCCATCTCTCTTAATATTTACACCATAGACATAAAATCTCATGTTTGAGTTAAATCCACTTCACTCCCGAAAGTCAGAAGGGATTTGGGAGGGTTTTATAGTGAGCAGGATCTTTGTGCGGATGATTTGTCGCTCTATAAGGTCTGTGAGGATTTGTTGTGTTGGTGCGAGACGTTTGCCACACTCCCCGGAGTTCGTCTCTTACCCTGAGTTATCGTCCTTGTCTCCTGAAGGGCAGATCGTGCATAATCTTTGAATAACAATGTGTACTCAGATATTCAGATCACAGTGATTTATCATATTTTCATTTTATTATAAGCTCATTATCATTTTACTGCAGTGAAATAATACGAGAGGTGCAACTAGTGATTATGTTTCATATTTTTATTTTGAATTATTTGATTGGTCCATGAAATCTGATATGGAGAAAGGTTAGGGTTCTTGACAAATAATGATGAAGGAACAATTATTTCAATTATTAAGCCTTAATTTTGTGTCTATCAACTTCCAGAACAATCTATTTTTGACATTTTATGGTTTTGTTGTGATTTTTTCCGTAATTCTTCAAATATAAACTGATCCCCTTGATATTTTGAAGCAGGACATTGTTTGTAAGATTTTCCTGCTCTACTCTGCAGATGTACATTCATATAAATAGTCAAGTTTTCCCTCTTGTGATTCATAAATCCGACACTGTGCATGTTGGTTTTTGAGTTGCATGGATTTAAACAAAGGATGCCCCCTGTCAGACTGTGACAGTCGTCTCTAACGTCACCTGCGTGTTTCTGTCTTTGCTTTATTCAGACGGAGGTGACAGGGACAAAGGTTTGAAGTCGTCCTGAGTGACGGGCTGTCTCTCCTCCTCTGATGCTTGTTTACCGCAGCGTTGTCAACATATAGCTCAAAATCCCCTGAGTGGATTCGTGAATTAGAAATATGCATCTCAGTGCTGGTGTTTCTGTGGCTGGAGTTCAGGGGTGTGTGTCTGCAGCAGCAGCAGCAGCAGCGTGATCAGGCTCTAATTGGTGTACAAATGTAGTTCAGGCGTATTTAAACCTTTTGTTAGTATCCATCTGCAGAAAGATGGAGTGAGACGGATCAAGAGGTTTGGCAGAGGAGAGCACGGCACTGTTTCAAACTCATGTTTATATAATGTTTCGGCCTTTTTGTTTTCTGTGAATTTCAGTTTCACGGTACGTGATCTCTCTGACCTATAAGGTGCTGCAGCCTTTCACACACGCTGCTGCGTCGCAGCCTCAGCGCGTCTCCTCAGCTGTTGTTCATTGTGTCGTTATCAGTTTGTTGTACGACTGCACAGCCAGGACGCTCCACAGGCCTCAGTCGTCCTGCCGCTCTGCACTGCAGGTGTAAATCCACGACACCTGAACCACGAGTCAATCCCCAAAAGTGGTTTATACACATTTTTGCAGCAAATAGTGTAAATATTGCAAATACATGTGAACGATTATAGCATTAAGAATATCAAACTTGATTTCCCCAGTTACATCAGAAGTTGTTCATGGTGATTTTGTTCTTTTGTTGTTGTATTTTCACTTTCCAGCACACATCTGCCGAGCTCGGCTGTTTTTGAAGTATTGCGTCACTGCGCCGTGCACGATGCAGGGCTGCTGCAGAGGGCGATGCTGACCCTTCTCCCCTGTTTATTGTTGTTGTGCAGGAGTTTGCTGCGCTGACCAAGGAGCTGAACGCCTGCAGGGAGCAGCTGCTGGAGAAGGAGGAGGAGATCTCTGAGCTCAAGGCGGAGAGGAACAACACCAGGGTGAGGACGACCTCCACACACATCCTGAAAACATTCACTAAACTCTCTATGCTAATCCACCATAACTTGTGCCGCTGATTTAAAGAAGCACTGAGCTTTCTCTCTGTTCTGAATGGATGCAGACCAAACAAATGAAAATGGTCAAACTGTTGTTTTGACCATTTTCATGGCAGAAATGTTGACGCCCGATTCTTCCAAATTCATCCTCCATGGGAAACTTGTGCAAACTTTCCCAACTTGCCCCAAATTTTTTATGTCAGCTGCAAAAAAAAAAAAAAAACCCTGAAAAACCTGCTGCACACTGTGATAGACGGCATCCAGAGGAAGCTTAAACTATCTGGTGGGTTCCGGTTTTTCGGCTGCAGACGCACTGAAGCAGCCATGCACACAGTGTGTTTCCAATGCCCAGACACAACTCATTAGCTCCCCACATTCGGAGTCCCCACTTATTTCACAGCTTCACATGAACGACTGCTCAACAATGAAACGTCCAAATGGCATCGATGCTCCGCAGCGTCCAGTTCACAGCGTCTCCAACAACTGAAGACATTAGTGGCTCAGCTTAATTTTGTGGGGCTGAAGTCCTGTATCTTCAATGACAAGTATTTATTTTATTTTTGAAGCAGTAGGCAGACTCTGCTGTTCTGCTCTGCACAGATAAGACCCTGTGTTCCCTCCTTGTGCTGATGAAGTGAGGATTTTCCTGCACCGTCTCTCTTCACTGGGTGTGAAGGCAGGAGATTTAAGCACAACATGGCGTAAAAAGGAGGAGGAGAGGGAGGTGAGGCGCAAGGAAACAAGGACAGAGTCATTCTCACTGTCTCACTTTATTATCACCTCAAATCCTCAAATGGGCAATTACCAGGCAAACTTTAATTAAGCCTGGTTCTCGTGTCTGGTAGGTTTTAATGAATGTTGGAAGGCATGTGTGGGCAGTGAGCGGACTGAGGAGCAGTGGAAACTATATGGTTGTTTGGGACAAGCACGTGGACTGAATATAAAGATGGACGACATCACGGTCCCACAAAGCCTTTTCACTGCCCCCTGGTGACAGGCTGCAGAAGAGATCATCGACCCGACTCCTCCATGTTAGTGGACTAGATATGGAACAAACTAAAAAGTCAAAGCACACGTCAAATCAACTTTTCTCAAAAGTGATCCATGTGTTGTAAATATTTCTATTAAGTCTATTAAGTGATCTCTCCCGTCTGTGTCCTCAGCTCCTGCTGGAACATCTGGAGTGTCTTGTGTCCAGACACGAGCGGTCGCTTCGTATGACGGTGGTCAAGCGTCAGGCTCAGTCTCCCTCAGGAGTTTCCAGCGAAGTCGAGGTCCTCAAAGCCCTTAAGTCCCTGTTTGAACACCACAAAGCCCTCGATGAGAAGGTGAGTCTGCACGATGCACATCCGTCACATGAATCACAACAGGCAGGAGCTGAAAGTGTTTCAGGCAGAGGCTGAAAAGAGGAGCTGCAGCAATGGACAGACTGTGGACAGTGACGTGTCCGAACATTAGATAAATCATGTTAACTTTCAAAAGTAAAAACACACATTGAAAGTATGAATATGTCTTTTGATATAGATGGATCGACCAGCTAATACTTAAACGTGGCTGCAGCGTTATCTGTGTCCTCCTGGTATCTGTTGATGCTTTTAGCCTCCACACGTCCCAACCATCATTTCACCTGCCTCCTCACAGTCTGCAAATTTATGACCTCCGTCCCCCGTGTGATATCACCGCCGCCCCTGTTATCCATTCAGCCGCACCCGTAAAATCATGTCCACAGCCTCTCCACTGGCAAGGGAATAAAAGCTGTCCCGTGGAGGTGGGGGTCCCATCACACCCCAGACCCTATCTAACTTCTAATCCTGGAATGCAACTGGGCCGCAGCAGCGATGGTGCGGTGCAAGTAATTGCTCCATCGCAGCAGCAGCAACCCTGGAAGAGGACAAATATGATCTGAGTTCACAGGCGACGAGGGGAGAGCGCAGGAGGGGAATCTCCTCCCAGCAACTGGTGCTTTAAAAGAAATAACAGCCTCATGCCGCTGCTTTGAAGCCACTGTAGAGTGTTATTGTTCAGATACGGGAGGAGGAGCGGACACGCTTTGCTTTTTCTTTCCGCTCTGTTCATGCTTGACGACCCAGACTGGAATTTAAACTGTGAAAAAGGAGCTGTGTGATCCATCTCAGAGCGAATATAAATAGATCATACATATAAGTACAAGCAGGTCGTGATGTGTGTTTGGTTGTTTTGGGTTTCAGGTCAGGGAGAGACTACGGGTGTCGCTGGAGAGGGTGTCCGCCTTGGAGGAGGAGCTTACAGCAGCCAATCAGGAGGTAAGAATTACCACAAGGTCACAAACGTTATGATATATTTTAATCATGGATGGACTAACTAACAATAACTATACCAATCATGAAACAGGGAGAAGGAATGATAGAAACATACATGCTATATGAACGGGAACAACATCGAAGACGTCTAACTTGGATGGAAACAGCTTTGTTGTCCTGATTGTCCGCTCAGGACGACCTCCTTGCTGATGCATTTCTAGATTGTAGATTCTAGATTGTAGATTTTGAATTCAAAGGTCAATACAGTTAGAAAATGAACTTCTGTCCCTAACTGAATTCTAGTGTTGGATTTAGTTTTTTAGATCATGCACCACAACCACAGCAACATTATATCACTTGCGCCTCCTAATCTTTTCAAAACACTGAAGCACCGCGCCGACAGACGAGTGGTCACTTCCTGCGGTGGCCTAACTTTCCTGTCAGCCTCCTGCTCGGCTGAAGTGCCAGAGCTGCTCTCACACTGCGGACGGGCTGAGAAAAAACCCTCAGGCTGGCACTTCACAGCCAGTCAGACACTGAACGTCTGTGAGAAGATGGGCAGAGGAAGGACGGACGGAGGGAGGGAGGGAGGGAGGACTGAAAAGCAGAAAGAGGGAGAGGTTGGGAGGTGAGTGGACAGACAGGTAGTGAAGAGGGATAAGATCTGTGAGACAGTGAAAGAACAGGAACAGGTTTTTTAAAAGAAAGGTGACAGACGTCTGACTCCTTAAAACTCTGCGTCTTATATTAACTCTTACGTCCCTGACACACTCTCTGCGATGGACACTTGAAACGTCTCACATCACAGCAGCCAAGGTTAGAAAGACAATGCTGCACATCTGCAAGGCCGGCGCTCTTAAATGGTTAACACCTCGCTCTTGTCAGCGCGGCGGACCGATGAGTGATTAGATTGTTGAGGCGGCAGAGGTAAGGAGGCAGTTAAACCGGCTTCGCAGAATAGACATGTCCACACCTCGGAGGCTCCGGGGAGCCGGGAGCTGCTGCGAGCCGGGGAACTGGTAATTGATTTGGAATAGAGCGCTGGTACCAGTCCGTCTTTGGCTGCCGGGGTAAAGACAACAACATAGAGCCGAACGTCAAGCTTAGCTCAGGAGCGTATACTCCATTAAATCTAGGCCTGAACATTATGGTCAAAAATAAGAGCAAGATAAGAATTTTAGTTTCAGTCGATAAATACATAATAATAAATAATAGTAAAATAAATATAACATTATTATTTCTTTAAAGTTTCTTCACAGTGTGTGTGTGTGTGTGTGTCTTTATAGTGTATGATCGATTACAATTTAAGCGCAGTGCACCAGCGTCCTGCACGTCCACATTTTTCACCTTGACAACATCAATCTTTGGAAACTCCCCCCACCTCCCATCCATCCCTCCTTCATCCCAGAGGTGCTGAAGAGAGATAAGGAAATTCTGATGCTTGCATCCTGTCCTTTCTTTGTCGTCTGGCTTTGACGGGGAGGTAAATCAACAACATGAAGAAGGAATGAAAAAAAGAAACAATAGGCACCGTGTTTATTTTGCAGCTGGCAAACTTGTCCTGTCTCAAACTTCACAGCTGGAGCTGCATCTGTCGCGCTCCATTCATTGATAGTTGTCACCTTCCTTCATGTCGCGGGCGGTGTTTGATCGCCGAGCAGCAGGAATTAGACAGTTTCAGAATAACCGCGCGGAAACGTACGGAGGCATTGTTAAAATAATGAGATATAACTTTATACTGTAGGAGTATTAAGTATACATATGGAATTCTATAATATATATATATAGACATTAAAGTATAAACTCAGATGTGTCATCTCGATTTTCACAAAACATTATTTCCATGTAAGTTCATGCTGTGTCTGAATTTATCAGAATTGGGAAAATGCAAGCAAACACCATCTAAACTCCGTGAAAAGTTTTTGAATGTAAATCACACAAACACGCCGAAGTGGGATCAACGACTTCACGGCTCAGTGAACTGGACCATCTCAGGAGCATGTGAAGGCGCAGTGTGTGAGAATCCTGACTTTACTTAATGTGTGTTTCATTTCTCCCCCCCCCGTCCTGCAGATTGTGGCCTTACGGGAACAGAATGCTCACATCCAGAGGAAGGTGGCGTCTGGAGACGGAGCAGACGACTTACTGGAGGGGAGTGAAGCTCAGCAGAAAGTCCACAGCAAGGTGAGCAACTGACATCAAAATATGAAGAGGAACAATTTTTACAGTTTTCAAATCACAAGCCCTTAAAGGTTATTTGAAGTTACCAGGAAGAAATTTGGTGGTGAAAGTATATTTTAGTTTGTGTTTATGGAGTTAATATCCGATATAATCATTAAACAAGACAAATTGTAAAGACGTTATTATGTACAAGCTTCTCCATCCTAAAATATAATATGACTCATATTGGTAAATTTATCATGATATTAATCATGTGCATTATACATGATTTACTTTTATACACTGATCTCAAATATTCAGCATCAAAATCACTGTTTCGTCTCCTCCGCTGGATTCTGTGATATTATAAAAACTGGTTCCTGCTCATGTACAGTCTGTTCCCCCTGCTGCTGTAATCGCAAACACACTTATTATTCAAATATGACAACGTTTATTGACAGGTTCTGATGACACATTTAGCTCTGCAGGATTCCTGGAGGGGCTGTGAGAGCTCTCGCTGTGACCTCCGCTCCTCATTTCATGCAGGAGCACACGTGCTTCTGCATAGTTGAATACAACCCCCTCCCCCCCTTTTTGATTATTAATTTAAAGACGCGGGGGGGTGTAACAGCGTCCAGGTTCACTACACGATGCGATGCTGTTCGATATCAGGAAAAAAACATCCAACCCCCTGAGCCCAAAGCAGCGTCTCACAGAGGATACCTGCCTGGATATGAAAAGATGAAAAGTGTGTGTGCTAATGAGGAGACGGCTATCGGCTGCTCTGGTCTGTGAAGATAAAAAGCAGAGAATATTTGCGTTTAAGTTTGCAGAAAGAAATTGCACTCTGCTGCAACGAGTGTTTCTTCTGGTCAATGGACTGACAGACCTGTAACCTTGTTGTGAGACGGAGGAAGGGCTTAGTTATTCAATGTCACCGCAGTCAGACGGGCCGAGGGAGCGGAGTGACAGCGCCGATGTGACAGGTGGGAACGGGGTCAGCGAGGGGGGGGGGGGCGGAGGAGTCGGGACGAGTGCGGCTCCTGAAGTGCATATTGACCTGCGGAGCTCTCAGACCCTCAGCGCAGACCTGGATCTTCCTGATAAGCAGCTAATGCAGTTGTGACACGTGAGGCTTGTTGCTGCGCCTCTTTAAGTTTTCATATCGTGGATTAGAATCATTTCCTCTCACTCGTCAGATGAACTGATTCACTCAGTTACTTTCTACCTTCGTCAAGGAGGTTGTGTTTTAGTTTGACACAAAAACTACTGAAAGGATTTCCATGAAAGGATGTGGGTCACGGAAGAATCCATTCAATTTAGTTGTGTATTCTTTCTAACGTACTATTTGCAATTTGTGCAACAGTCTTTCTAAGATTATGGATATAAAGGAAATTGAGCTGCGTTCAGTTCTCTTGGGGGCGACTGTGTTTATTTATTGTCAAGTTGTTTACTGACTTCATTCTCGACCCTGTGTGATTTGCGTCTCTCCGTCCTCCCCCTCGTTAATCTACCTCATGCAGAGAGAACCCAGCTGAACCTCATCATATCACGAATGTCAGTGTCAAAGCAATTTCTCCAATTGAATCCGAAGCGGTTCTCATTCCGAAAAATCAAAGCCTTGAGCGACCGAACCTGAATTTCAGAAGGAGAAATGGGAGCTAGACCTGATTTGTCAACGCCCACTTCAGTGCACGGCAGGAAACCAGAGCATGATGGGAAATCAGAAGATTGTTTTTCCATCTGGTTCAGTTTTTAATTTGGATAACGTCAACATTTTACTGATTTTACAAAAGAGGTCAAAACAGTTTATTGAAAGATTTTTATTTACTCTATAAAGTGTCCTACACCAAATGCTGCCCAGCTTATATGAGTTTATAAAACACTAAACAACCACAAGACAATAATCAAAGAAATTTAAGATCTACTTTGAATTTATCTATATGATTTTAGTCAAGTCCCAAACTTTAATTTCTCTTCTTGTCGTCTTCTCTTGAACCAAGTAGTTCAATAACCTCAGTATTTCTTCTCACAGAGAGGAGATTATATTGATTTTGTTATCTGCCCTCCTCACCCGTCTCTCCCCCTCAGCGCCTGTCCAACGGCTCCCTGGAGTCGGCCCATGAGGCGAGTCAGGTGGTGGAGCTGCAGGACCTCCTGGAGAAGCAGAACTACGAGCTGGCCCAGATGAAGGAGCGCATGTCGTCGCTCTCCTCCCGGGTCTCCGAGGTGGAGCAGGAGCTGGAGACCGCACGCAAGGACCTCATCAAGTCAGAGGAGATGAACAACAAGTACCAGAGGGACATCAAAGAGGTTACAGCGCACACACAAACTCACTTAAACACACAAACACACACACACACTCACTTAAACACACAAACACACACACACACTCACTTAAACACACAAACACACACACACACACACACTCTCACAAATATATTTGCAAAGGGAATAACAGTCGCAAGAGAGACATCAAAGAAAGCAGCGGCCTAAAAAAAGCTTCTATTAGCATCCACACTCACACTCTCCCTCCCTCTGTGTGTCTATGATTCTCACACTAACACACACACACACACACACACACACACACAATTAAATGCACTCTGCTTTGTTTAAGTACAAACAAATAAAAAAGATTTATAGAATCCTAATTATTAACATGGATCATCATGGTAGAACAATCAAACACAAGCGAGTGAATATTATAAACACACTATAGATATGTGTATATACATATTTATATATTGCAACATGCAGATGAGGAGACCCCAGGAGGTTTTATATTATATGAACACTTCTCAAGGACGCACACCAACATTATGATGTAGAACCTCTCACACGAGAAATGCAGCTCGAGCTGCTTCACAAAATAAGAAGAGAAAAATAAATAAATAAACAACAAAACAAATCACGAGAACAAAAAAACACATCCAGAACAAAAGAACTTGTTTCTCTCTTGTAAAATGATGACTTGCTTGTTATATTCAGACTTCATTCTCGACCTCTCTGAATTTTCTTTTCTTCAACACAATACTCCACCAGTTGCTCTTTCTCAAGCTGGAGAACGTTTGTGTGTTAAACTGAAAATAACAAGCCCAATCATGAGTCCACTCAATACTTGTATATGTGAGGTGAATGCTGCTGAAGTGGACTGTTTACAAATATAAGCTGATCTCCTCAGACCCTGAGCTGAAATCATTATTGATTGCCGACAGACCGGAGCAGTGATTGTGGGCTGGAGAACGTGGTCTCATCAGAGCGGCTGCATGTTATTACTCCTGCACGGTTTATTCAGCTCTCGATGTGTAACTCACGTGTATAATATTGTTCTGTGGTTTTTATGTACACGATCACACAGGATTTCTTCAGATGTATAAGATCACTCACTTGTTTGCTGTGCGTGTGTTTGTGTGTGTGTGTGCAGGCCATGTGTCAAAAGGAGGACATGGAGGAACGGATCGTAACGCTGGAGAAACGCTATCTGAGCGCCCAGCGAGAGTCCACCTCGGTGCACGACATCAACGACAAACTGGAGAATGAGTTGGCCAATAAGGAGGCGTTCCTCAGACAGGTCGGCAACTTCTGTGTTTTTTATAATTTGCTCCTAGAACTTTATTGAGATGATTTTCGGGGTCTTGTACCGTTCACAGCCAAACGTTCTCCAAGAGTTTCACTGGATTCAGGAGAATGAAGCGTCCGTGCAGCGGGTTGTGTCAGTGAGCGGAGGCCTTCAGAGCTGCTCCTCTGAGAGAAGCTCTTGACATTGTGTCAGATAATGTCAGAGGAAATTACTGCCGGGGAAGGAACTCTGATAATTCAACCCTAATGTTTACTTTGAGCAGATGCACTCGGCTCAAACCCGTCCTCATAATTGATGGAACGCTTAATGATGAGATCGAACCTCGGCGCGGATTCATTCCTCTTTTTTTGATGATTTCTCTGTGAGTCATTGCAGCCAATTAGATAAATTGCCCGTCCATACACGACTGAATGATGTTTTCATTGGCACAGGCTCGAGCACCAGCTGAGCTCTGGAGGGAGAGAAAGAATTTCACATTAACGTTAGCAGAAGAAATCGTAGATGCCACGAGACGCAGGAGCAGCGTTCACCTTTGATGGAAAGGAAGTAGACACCAAGCGATGATCTGTTGAAGGAGACGTGGGATGTTTTTTCGGTTTTATTTCCTCCAGCGTATCATGTAGGTTGTTTGTGCATGTAAAAGTTCTGCAAAGTTAAAAAAAAGTCCAAAGTCCAGGAACGGTGCACCGCAGGGGAAGAATGGAAAGTTTGAGGAAAGTGTTCACCACACATAAACACTCGTTGGTAGCGTAATGAGTTTACTTGCTGTTGTGCCAGCGGATGAGCCCCAGGATCTGGCCGCCGATGTTTGAAGATGACTCGTTCGGCGGGTGGAAGCTTGGCCTGTCGGTACAGAGGGACGACGAGATGAGATGAAAGAGTGCGGACGGGAGGGCAGCTTGGGAGGATGGTGCAACAAAAACACACTGTGGTGCTTCCACCCCAGTGTCGTCTCAAACACCGCTGGCATGGTAACACAGGTTCAGACAGAAAATATAAGTGACACACAAACAACACGACGCAGCTCCAGCCCGGTCCAGTCTAATCGTTGGATATTGAGCTGCCAGGCCCGGAGCTTTAGGGAGCAGAGTCACTGAACGATGGGTTTTTATTTCCATCTTTTTAATGGCAGGTGCTGTATCCGAATGTATAATCGGGGCGATCGCCTTTCTCTGCTGAGTAATAGTTGCCTCCGTCATTCTTGGCGAGTGCAGAGCTGCTGCTATTCTCACTGTCACGGTGCTATTTTGAAAGACGGGTCGAGGCAAACTGCCAGCAGCCGCTTCTCCTGCTGGAGACGGATATCTGTGGTTCTGTTTTCTACCAGGAGACCTCACCAGGAAAAGAGGGATGAGATTCACAGAGAAAGAAAAACTGTTTGTTCTTTTGTTGTTGCCATATTTTGTATTTTTTGCACCAGCTGCACAGAGTAGTTTAAGAACCAGATCTTTATTTCTACAAGTACGTTTTAATTCAGTTTCGTTGTTACAGCCACCGCAAATAGTCCTTCATCTCCTCCCGTCGTCTCGATTAATGCACATTCTCCGAGCTTGTTTTCCACCATGCACAGGAGGAAAGGATGAAATACAGATTGTCTTGAAATAACTTCATTCCGATGTTGCTCCTGTGCAGATGGAGGAGAAGAACCGGCAGCTCCAGGAGAGGTTAGAGCTGGCGGAGCAGAAGCTCCAGCAGACCATGAGGAAGGCCGAGACGCTGCCGGAGGTCGAGGCCGAACTGGCCCAGCGGATAGCGGCCCTCACAAAGGTAGGAAGACAAACACACACACACACACATATATCAACGCACATGATGTGACACATGCCCTCCTCTCTAGATTTGTTGTGTAAGTGTGCACATGGTGTCGTGTCATGACGTTTCAACGTGTCCCTCTCCTCTTCCTCGGCCACGTAGTCCGACTCCAGCTCCTCTTCCTCCCCCGATGATTATCACTTTGTTATGGAAGCTAAACTCCAAGACATGAACTCCATTCTTAGGAAGGTAGACCCACAGGGCATCACAGCTACTGCCAACTCCTGCAGGGAGCAGATTCCATTCATTTATCGAGTGTTGTGTGGCGAGCGTGTTTACTGGGACTCTGCTCTGGCTGTTCTACCAGCATAGGACAGCTGCATGGCTCTTCTGGCTGGAGCTCATCCTTGGCAGTGCTGGAGCGGCTCTCCTCCTCCTCCATTCTGTCCTTTGGTGGCCTCGTTCTCCATCTTTCCTCTTGTCACTCTTTGTTTCAACCAGCTCTCTCTCTCTCTCTCTCTCCAGTTCTGCTTGAAATAATAGATCTCCATCTTTGAGTTTGGGGTAGAGGCTTTGGCTTGTGTCGTTGCCACTGCTTTTGTTTTGTATTTGTTTTTTGTTGTCGCCCTCTCGGCCGTCAAACAAGGCAGATCATCGTACCCTCTTTTTGTTCTGTCTATGCTGTTGATCCATGTG